CCTTCGATCTGCATCTCCAGGTCAGCTCTGGCGAGGGTCAGCTCGTCCAGCACCCTGCGCAGGCCGTTGATGTCGGCCTCCACACTCATGCGCAGGGCCTGCTCCGTCTCAAACCTATCAGAGGAAACGGGGGTGGTCAGGCCAGAGCTGGCTCTGCACCTCTGATGACTTTCAGGAATCCGTGGGGAGGCTTGCTTCAGGCCAGCTGGGTTGCCTGAGGGCAGAATCCAATCCCCACTGCATGGAGCCCCATAAAAGCCTGGGGTTGCACCCCTACATCCTGCTGCCCTAGCTTCTGCAGCCCTGCAAGCAAAGACACTCACTTGGTTCGGAAGTCATCTGCAGCCAGACGGGCATTGTCGATCTGCAGGACAATTCTGGAATTCTCAATGGTGGCACCAAGAATCTGGAAGGGAGAAGGTACGAGGTTGGCAGCAGTTGGACCAACCACCCACTTTCTTCTCAGAGGAGGGGGGGAGAAATGAATATACCCCCACTCCCTAGAGACCACAGCCCAGCAGCTGCCCATTGGCCTGTGCTCCAGGAGGCCTTGGAATCAATCCATGGTCAGGAACTGAAGCAGGAAGACATACTAAGGGGTAGGTTGGCAGGGGGTCCACCCTGGGAGGACGTCTCTGAGACCTGTGCTGGATGAAACTTTAAATGGCCTGAAGGGGGCCTATAAACCGGATGCATCAAGAAGGGCTTACCCCTTTGTCTGTACCCCCACTCAAACCACATTCTGCCATAAGGCAAAAGGATCTCTTTTACAGAGCATCTCCTCTGTGCCAGACACTATGTGCCTCACCCTTTATAAGTGACGAACCTCGATGCCAGGTCTGATTACTCCCACAATACAAGTAGAAATCTTCTTATTCACCCCAATTTGAAGACTGTTTGACCTCAGGGACACATTTGCATCACCCAGCTCATCACTGATTAAGGTATTTGGTTTCAGTGTTTTCCAAAGAGCAGGTCACAACTCATTAGTCAATTTATCATCAGGTGGTAATTTGCATATTTTTAGTGAAACAATATGAAAATCAGAGAGGAATCATCCACAATAGGGTAAGAATTGTTTCAAGGAACTTTTACCATGTGTGTGTGTGTGTGTGTGTGTGTGTGTGTGTGTGTGAGAGAGAGAGAGAGACACAAAGAGAGAGGGAAGGAGGAGGAGAAGGGAGAAGAGGGAGGGATGGAAGGAGGGAGCGAAGGAAGGAGCAGGAGACAGGAGGTGCGTGATACATAGTATTTCCTACTGTAGGTCACAATTTAAAATCTGTGTAAAGCACTACTCTAGCTGGTTGGTGACATCTCTAGCTCTCTACTATCTATGGGTCAGGGTCTATGCCCCCCAGCACCATGCTAGGCTCAAGGTGGGCACAGTGAACTGTTCTGGGGAGCTGCACCTTGGGAGACCCAGTGTGGTTGTGTTTTTAAACTTCCCTCTGGTATCTGATACAGTTCTTTAGGGCAGAGGTTTTCCCTGCAGGCCTTTTAGGGCCAAAGCTTGTGGCACAGATCCACAGGAAGCTGCCCCTACACCTGGTCCTCCAGGACAGAGATCCACAATAGCAAAGACCCAGGGCCTCTGCCTATGTCCCTCCTTCCCTGGCCCAGGGACCACAGCTGACTCTCACATTCTTCCTAGAGCTCCTCTTAAGCCTGGGCAGCCCCTGGGCAGGAGAGGAGTGAGAGGAGGTCAAAGCCTGTGTGTGATGAAAACCAGACAAACAAGAAGAATGCAGGGGCCCGCCCACCGGGAGTCTCAGAGGGCAGGTCTGGCCCAGGGTGGACCAGAGTCCCCCAGGCTAAACTCTTGCAGTTCCTTGCTAAGCCTACAGTGCCGGGTCTACACCTCTGGACAGCCCCGGAGCCGTGGATGTCGCCCACTCTTCGAATCCCCCCTTCCCCTGGTCTAGTGAACCTGCCTCTCCTCTGGAACCCTATCCTAGCCACCTCTATAGGCCCCACCCATTTACCTGCCCCCTCCCAGTCGTGTTCCCCGCCCCCTCCGTCTTTCCCCTTCCCCCACCCCAGTCTCCACTTCCTGCCCCCTTTGTCTCTGCCCCACCCTGCGGACACTCCCACGTCCTAACCGGCCCACGGGGGCTGGGTTTTCGCCGCGCCGCCTGTCCCATGGCGGCAGGTGCACTTCCCGCGGGTCATCACCCACCTTCTCCCGCAGATCTTCGATGGTCTTGAAGTAGTGGCTGTAGTCACGGGAGGGCCCGGGCCCCTGCTTCTGGTACCAGTCTCGGATCTTCACCTCCAACTCGCCGTTAGCCTGCTCCAGGGCGCGCACCTTGTCCAGGTAGGAGGCCAGGCGGTCGTTGAGGTTCTGCATCGTGAGCTTCTCATTGACCGTCAGTAGCCCATCGGACCCATCATAGCCGCCACCATAGCCCCCACCATAGCCCCCACAGGACGAGGACACGAAACGGGCAGAGGACACAGACACACCGCGGCCGCCTGAGCCCCCGTGGATGCTGGGTGGGCGGAAGGCGCCCCCAGACCCAAAGCGCACGGAGCCGCCGCCCAAGCCCCCGAAGGTCGAGGTGGCGGAGGACTGGCGATAGCTGTAGGAAGTCATGGCTAGACGGAATACGGGAGCGACACTGGCCTGAGAGCTTCCAAAGGCAGGAGGAGTGGCGAGGCCCTCACCTGGTGCCTTTTTATGCCCGAGGCAGGTGGGGGAGGAGGAGGAGGACTGTGTCAGGGGCGGATATCTGAGCCCAGAGGAATTTGCAGGCTCCTGAGTGCAAATATGGGCACTCTCCTCATTGGTCAACTCCTAGCGGCTCTGCCCCCAACTCTCTTCTTCCTAGAACCAGAGGCCCCTGCCCTCCCCAGAGCCGCCCCACCCCACCCACTCAGAAGCTAAGATCGACCTACGTGCACGCCCCTGTTCTGACCCTTCACCCCCATCCATCACAGGCTTACACAGCTCCGACCTGGAATGGACATTCATACCCACCCTCTTTAAGACTCCCAGAGTTTGAAACGCCCCAGGAATCACAGTCACTAGAGATTACATTCTTACAGGCCCCCACTCTCTCTGAATGCCCCCTTTGAAATCACGTTATGAGTCTGTTCCTTGTGATTATAATCAACACTCCCCCCCACCAAGTACGTTCATTAGATTTCTACACCCCACTGGAAACTTCAGCCTTTTTGAATGCCCCCTCAGTGTCCTCTGACAAAGGTAGTTTCCTGATGAGGGTGCTCTGAGCTGCAGGCTTCCCAGCTGCCAGAGACAAGTTGCCTCTCCCTGTTGTGGCCATACAATGCCTCAAGTGACAAAGGCCCCTGGGACCAGCTGCAGGGAGCCATTCTGGCAGCTGGACTGGCTCCACAATCCAGGGCTCAAGACTGACCTTCTCCAGGCACCCACCCAGCCCCACCAGGACAGCACCCTCCCCTCCAGCCCCAGAGCCTGCTGCACTCAAGGAGGTGTTTATTGGCTACTTTAACCAGTTCCTGAGGACTCCTGAGCCTAGAAGGAAAAGGGAACTTGCCCATGAGGCATTTAACACCTGCCACCCACGGACTGAAATGGGTGGAATCCTGCCATCCTTGAGCATTTCTGAGGAGATACCTGCTGAATCTGGGTACTTTTAGGGGGACTGATCAATGAACTGGGGCCAACAACACAAAAGCACCTGCATACAGTGAGGCGTTTCCACAGTAGAGGAAGGAGCCCTTCCCCACACATTAGCCCCTAGTCCTGTGTTCATTCCCTGGAACCACTCGGCCACCTTTCTTGATCTCTTAGGCTGGCTGGGCACCCTGCCACACACTGCAGGGCCCTGCAACAGCCTCACCTGTCATCAGAATTATCCCCACATAGTTCCTTCTCGTCTTAATGTCAGCGCAGTCTCCCAGTCTCAGTACAGAAGCCCTGCGCCTCCAGAGAGGGTGTTAGGGAGATGGGCCAATCACTCTCCACCTCCAGGCCTGTTTCCCCCTGTAAAATAAGGGATGTTCAGTTCCTTGCTCTTCTCTGCATTTATCAACTGGGTTTCCTGTGACTAAATGATGACTTGTCCAACAAACTGTCTTGTAGTCACCATTTTCTCAGGGAAGAGGGCAGGAAACCACACACACAGCCCCAACCCACCAGGAGCAGCCCTCAGGCTACTCAGGAAGCCCAGCCTGAGGCTATTTAAACCAAGGAATCAGTTGCAAGAGAGTTGATCTGGGGAGGCCATGAAAGTAGGGTGCGGCAAGGCCTTCACAAAGGTTGTAGCCACCAAGGTTGGTCTGGTCTGTGAGTCACTCCTTATCTGGCCCTGAGGAGGAGACTTGCTCCCTGAGGGGGGAATGGTGTGACTGGACAGATAGTTGCTATGCACTGAGCCCCAGCCAGGACCTCTGTTTTCTTAGACTGATAGGGGTTCTGGAAGGGACTTTGTTTTAGAAAACAAAGAACAAGACCAACAATTCTGCCCCAAAGATTATGAGCTCCCTAAACTGCAGAGGCACTTAGAGTCCCAGCCCTCTGCCCCAGGGCCATAGCCACAAGAACAGTTTACAAAGCCTTTTCAGATCTCCATGGAGCCTCACAACAGCCCAGTGGAGAGGGTTTTTTGGGTTTTTTTGTTTTCTGTTTTTTGGTTTTGGGGGTTTTTTTGGATGATACTGGGGTTTGAACTCAGGGTCTCATACTTGCTAGGCAGGCACATTACCACTTGAGTCACTCCACCAGCCCTTTTTGTGTTGTGTATTTTCAAGATAGGGTCTCTGGAACTGTTTGCCCATGGCTGGTGTCAAACCATGATCCTCCTGATCTCTGCCTCCTGAGTAGCTAGGATTACAGGCATGAGCCACCGGTGGTGCCCCGCTGGAAAGGATATTCTTATCCCCATTTCACAGATGAGGAACTAGGCTCCAGGAGGGGCAGACTTACCAGAAGTACCAGCCAGAGGTACCAGATTCAGGCTTCTAGCCTCTTGACACTCAGTCCCATGGTCTGGGATCCTGAGCTGTGACAGAGGCTCTGCTGTACCTTCTAAGGAATTCTCAGTTCCCAAACAACTCCTTTGGGTCTCTTCCCCCAAAATCTTGGGTCAAATCCAGTGGCAGTTAGCCCCAGGCTGGACTCAGGTTGGAGCCAGAAAGAATACCCTGCTTCCTCTCTCTGACCACCAACCATGCCTAGCTGTGAGCTGTGTGGCTTTGTTTGGGCATCTCTGGCATATCAGGAACTCAGTAGAACAGGCTGTGCCTAAGAGGTGGAACTGAGTGTTCTAGCTTTGCTCCCATGCAGCCAACAGACCGCCATGGCTGGGATCTGTGGTCCTTCTCTGGCTTCAGGAGGGCAGAAGCCAGTCCTAGAGGCTCCTTTCTGAATTCTGGGTCTCCAGGCTGAGAGATGGGGGCTACGGAAGAAGGGCACACAGGGTTGGCTGGAAGGAATCCCAGAGAGGATCTGGCCCAGTTTTCCTCAACTCAGTTCTGCAAGAAGCCCAACACCGTAAGATTCCTGTGGGAAAGAGATCCTTGTCCAATAAGAGCAGAACCTGCCCCCTCCAACTTCCTTTCCAAGTTTCGCAATGCACATATCAGAAGCCACGAGCACCTCAGTTCCTCATTTGTAAAACAGATGATGAGGAGGCCTATTTACAGCATGTGGTTACTACGATTATATTACGATTAGTTAACTTTGTTTAGCTAGCATTTCCCCCAGTGTACAAGGTCATAGAATCCTCTGTCTGGTGATGCCTATTAATAACCCACAAATTGCAAGAAATGCTCACCCAGTCCAAAGATGCCAGAGAGGCAAAGTTACTTACCTGAGGTCGTGAGGCTGACTGAGGCAGAGCTGAGAACAGCTTCCAAGTCCTGACTCTGAGACAGAGGCTCTTTGCATCTCCACCTAGACAGTCACTAGAAGCTTCTTCCACTTAGCAAATCCATTTAGTTCCCAAAGGAGAGAGGTTTTCAGGAACTAGAACAGCAGATGGAGACCACTAGAAAGAAGCTGGGAGGGTCCTCATCCCTGAGTAAATGGAAGGTGTGATGACAATGATAGCAACCACGAAAGTAATAATAATGTCAGCAACCTTACTCATTCAGGGCCACTATGCTAAACACTTTGCATACATTATTTTAACTAATCCTGTGAAGCTAAGTATTACTCTCCCCATTTTACAGCCCGGAAAACTGAGGCTTAAAAGGTTAATCATTTGCCAAGGTTATAGCAGTAAGTAAGGGACCTAGGATTTAAACACAAACCCTTAACTCCCTGAAGCTACAGTTCTGACCACTAACACTTTCCTTCTTTTCACAGGATGGAGGCCCAGGCTTCTTCCTCCCCAGGTCTGGAGAAAGAGCCATCTGATTGGGGGAAGGCATAATGTCACCTACCAAGGTCCCCTCATGTCCTTCCTGCTCTAATACACAGTTATCTGGTCAGTCAGTGGGCCATTCAGTTACAGTTCCTTAAAGCTCAGGCTAACAAAGAGACAGACTTCTGCTCTGTCTCCAGACTTCTGGAGGAGAGAAAGGTGGACATGTGGTAGACTTTATAAATTTACCTGTCACATAAATTAGTAACACCTTAACTAGACACCAGGGACCATCAGCAGGGGGCACTTAGAGTTCTTTGTCACCCTCTCACTCCTCCATTCACTGAACATGTTTTAAGCCCCCCTGGTTCCATGCCAGGCATGTTGCTAGGTGCTGGGAGGCCAAAGTAAATACAAGCATTTCCTGTCTGTCAGAGGGCAACAGTCCTCAGGAGGATTATGGAGAAATATTACTTTGATGAAATGAACCAGATTGAATGCCCACATTAACATTCGCTCCTTCCCAAATTCCTGTTATCATGACAGCTAAGGAATATCTAAAGGAAATTAAAAAAAAAGAAGAAGAAGGGGCTGGAAGTGTGGCTCAAGCTGCAGAGGGCCTGCAGAGCAAGCATAAAGCTCTGAGTTTAAACCCCAGTTCTGCCTCCCAGCCCCAAAAAAGGCAGAACATGAGAAATGTCAACAGAAACTCATAAAGCTCTGAAATGATACCACAGCAGGAGAGAAAGAGAGAGCAAGCCAGGACTTTGAATTTTAGAGTAAAAGGCAGGAAGCCCACGAGAAACAAGCAGACCCCAGAGAAGCTCGGAATTGGAGGCACAGGTGCCTTGAGAGGAGTGGAAGATGAACAGCCTGGAGGTTTCTATAAACAGCACCAGGCTTTCCAACCAGAGCTCCTCCCCGATCAAGGCTGCCAGGAGGCTATTTCTCAACCCAGGAGAAGATAAGGGATTGACTTTTCCCCAGTAGACTGGCAAAATTACAAAATCTGATCATACCAGCTGTTGGGGAAGCTGCAGGTAATGAATCCCCTGAAACATACCCCACTGAGTGAGAGGTGAGCTGTAGCAACCACTTTGCAGATTTCAAATTGTCTTCAATTTTAAAAAGTTCACACAGCCACCAGCCCCACTTTTCCTACTTACCCCCAGAGAACGCCTGGCAAGGTATTCAGGAAGACAAAAAAGGATGCTCTTTGAGGCATTGTTTGCAACAGTGGAAAACCAGAAACAACCACTGGTGGGGGGATGGTTAAACAAACTGCATAATATCTACACTAGGGAGGATTAGGAGTGGAAATCAAACAGTAAGTAATGTCAACATATGGTGACATGAGAAACATAAGAACTAGTCGTTGGGTGCAATAAAAGCAGTGGGATAGTGTGATCTAGAATATGGTAAATGCATACTGGCA